CCTTCAGATTCTAAATTGGGAAGATATTTTCAAGTCACCACGAAAGATAAAAAAGTGACTGTAAACTCTCCTCTCACAGAACATAAATCCCTAAATACTCTCCCCAAACCCAGCTCAAACGTCACTGCTTCTTTTTTCTGGACACCTTGGCATTTTGTACAAACCTTCAGTGTCCACGTTAGACCCTGCGCCCTCAAGGGGGTGGGACCTCACTTTATACGTCACGAGTGCCTCTAGTCTCTGAAGCTCTTTCCACAACCCCGCTTTAGAGGGCTGCGGTTAGGAGTGAATGAAACCATGTACCCAAGGCGCTTAACACAGTGACTGACAGAAGGTAAGCACTCGAGAGACGCTGGTTACTATAATATTCGACGGATCCCATCCCTCTTTTAGCCTTGTTTTCCTCAAGGGTAGCATGAGGCTGTACGAATGGTGGCCAAAGCTCCCTAGGGCGGGACGGCCCGGGCCCCGGGAAGGGCCTGAGGGGAGCACTGTGTGGGAGCCAGGGCATCCCTGGAAGACTAGCGACCCTGAGAGTCCCTGTGCAGCCCGGCGCCGAGGTCCGTCCTCTCACCTCCCGGACTCAGCAGCAGCTTCAACGCCTCCAAAATCCGCTCCAGATCGCATATTTCCAGAGCTCCGCTGCCCACAGTCTGTGGGGAGGCCGCCATGACTGCAGTGGAACGCGCCACTTGGAACCCGCTCAGGGGCCTCGGCGGACCCAGGCCGCCGCCATATTGAGCTTGGCAGGAGGCGCACAGCGTCAGGGGCGGGGCCAGCGGCATGGGGCGGAGTCGACTGTGTCGTGAACGCTCTCTCTACCTGAAAAATATTTTCTCAGCCCTCTTCACTCCCCTGGGAAAAAAGCTACAGCTAACACAACCTGCTTACTTGCACAATTAACTGTTACACAAAGAAAAATTAAAAGTAGTTTATCATGAAATAATATGTATTTCAGTATGAAAATATTCATGTACCGAAACGTTGGGAGACATAATGAAGCAGGAACTCAGTTAACTCAGATGAGGCTAATGGCATCCAGTAGTTGTCTTTTATTTATTTTTTTAATTTTAAAACATTTATTTTTTTTCTCCTCCCCTTTCCCCCCTTCCTTCTGGTAACCACTAGTCCATTGTCCATGTACATGAGTCTCTGCTTGTCTTGCTCATCTGTTGCTTTTAAGTTTATATCCCACATATAAGTGATAGCATGTGATTTTCAATCTTTTCTGTCTGGCTTATTTCACTTAGTATGATTATTTCAAGGTCCATCCATGTTGTTGCAAATGGCAGTATTTCATCTCTTCTTATGGCTGAGTAATAGTCCAATGTATATATGTACCACAGCTTCTTTGGTCATTCATTCGTTGTAGGACACTTCCGCTGCTTCCATGTCCTGGCCACTGTGAATAATGCTGCTATGAACACTGGTGTGCAAATATCTTTTTGGATATGAGTTTTCATCCAGTAGTTATCAATGGCTATTTTACAGAAACAAAATTCCCAGTAAAGATCCCAGTAAGTTAAGGGTTTTTGTCTTCTAAAGCCACATGTGATCACTGGAGTGGTCGCATTCCATTTTCCATTATTGACTTCTAAATTCTTACCCTACCATTCTGAAAACCTTAGTCGCTTTGATAACCGCCGCCGCCGCCCCACCACCACCACTCCACAAAACAGTGGTCACTGAAGCTTAAGTTTTCATTTATTTTAAAGAAAAGGTTTTCTCTTTATATTACCACTTCCTTTAGTATCATATCAAGAGATCTTTGTTAGAGAGGAACTTTTCCTCTACCTTCTTAGGTTTTGAATATGGGGGCCTGTGAATTAAACCAACAAAAGAGATTAGCAAGAGAAAGGACAACTTTTTATTCACATCTGAGAGTTCACAGAAAAATGTGACTCAAAGAGGTGGTTAGAATTTGGGGTTTATATACTACCTTAATAGGGCAAGGGGAAGGAGAAAAAGGGCACTTATGGGAAAACATTAAATGACTTTGAGGAAAGATAAATGAACTTTTCGGAGAATAGATGGGAGATATGATAGTTTTGTGACAGTACCTGTTTAGGTGACTTCTTATTGCAGTTGCACCAACTGCTAGTTTCTGGTGATTGCAGTCAATCCTCCCTGTCTCTGGTCCCCTCCCCAGGCTGGTTCATCACCCCTGCAAACAGATGCATCTTCACAGAACACCACTTTGGATCACGTAGTTCTGCTCAAAACACTAATGGTTCTGACCCACTAAATCCAGTCCAAAATGGAATGCTTGGCCTTTTCTCTCCTAACATCCAGCTTTTGCTTAAATGATTCCCTCTACCCAAAACTCCTCTTAAGCAATACTAAAAATAAAAGCTAACATTTAACAGCACTACCACGGGCCGGGCATTCTTCTAAAAGCTTTAGGCATATCGACTCAACTAGTGCTCGCATCGACCCTATGAAGCAGCTATCCTCCCTTCGGAGATAAGGAAACTGAGGTAGGGACAGTTTAAGTAACTTGTCTAAACTCATTGCTGGAAAGGACAGAACCAGGATTTGAACTCGGGCAGTATGGCTCCAGTGTCTCTGTGTCTTCAGCACATACTGTCCTACCAGTACCTACAGAACCAGCAAGAGGGAAGCAGAGACATGGTTCTCCAGTCCCCTCTTCAGGACCCCCATCAGGTAGGCTCCTGGACAGATGGAGCTTTCTTCTCTGTAGTCTTTTTTCAGAAGTCATATTTCCCTGCTGGAAAGGCCCCTCGCATGTGGTGGGTACTCCATAATTTTATTCTCTATATAACCATTTTATTTATCTTTCATTGTCCTCATTCTATCTTTCTCTGACTTATCATGGTAAAATAGACATAAAACTTACCATTTTTAAGTGTACAATTCAGTGGCAATTTAGTGTTATGCAACCATCTTATACTCCCATATCAGACTTCTACTTTCTTTTTATTGAGGTAAAATATGCATAACAAAATCAACCATTTAAACCATTTGGAAGTAAACAATTCAGTGGTATTAAGTACATTCACAGTGTTGTACATTCAGAGTGTTGTACAACCAACACCACTATCCATCTCCAAAACTTTTCATCATACCGAACTGAAACTCCGTACCCATTCAACAATAACTCCCCATTCCCCTCTCTCCTCAGCCCTGTTAACCTCTACTCTACTTTCTATCTAAATAAACTTGACTATTCTAGGTACCACATTTAAGTGGAATCATACAGAATTTGTTGTTTTGTGTTTGGCTTATTTCACTTGACATCATGTTTTCAAGGTTCATCATGTTGTAGCATATGTCAGGATTTCTCTCCTTTTTAAAGCTGAATATTCCCCAGTGTGTATATATTTTGTTTAATCTACTCATTCACTGATGGACATTTGGGTTGTTTCCAACTTTTGGCTATTATGAATAATGCTGCTGTGAAAATTATGACACATTTGCTTTTGTGTTCTTCGTTATTATGGTTTTTGGTCAAACCAGTTAGTTTCCAAACAACATTTATATCACTAAATTCTTCACTTATCTCCTAAGAAAAAGGATTCTCCTAGTAAACATCACCATTGTTACACCCAAGAAAATTAATATTTATTCAGAAATATCTTCTCTAAGATCCATGTTAAAATTCCCCCAATTTCCAAAAATGTCTTCTATAGATTTTTTATTTTCACGTCAGGATCCAACCAAGGTTCATACATTAGCAGTTTCTCAAAAAGCTAAACATACATAGAACTACTACTGTATGACCCAGCAATTCCACTCCTAGGTATGTACCCAGAAATGAAACAGACTCAAAATAGTTTCTGTATGCTAATGTTCATTGCAGCATTATTCACAATAGCCAAAAGCTGGAAACAACCCAAGATGAATTGATAAACAAAATGTGATATATACACACTATGGGATTTTATTTAGCCATGGAAAGGAGTAAAGTTCTGATACATGCTACAATATGGAGGAACGTTGAAAACATACTAGGTGAACTAAGCCAAATTTAAAAGATGAATATTAAATCATTTTACTTATATGAAATATCTAGAATAGTCAAATTCAGAGACAGAAAGTGGAATTGAGGTTCCCAGGGCCTGGAGAGAAGGAATGATGAGTCATTACCTATGGGTACAGAATTTGCATGGGATGAAAAAGTTTTGGAAATAGAGGTGATGGCTGCATTAATACTGTCAATGTACTTAATGCCACAGAATTGTACACTTTAAAATGATTAAAATAAATGAGTACAGAGTTTCAGTTTGGGAGGATAGTTGCACAACCATGTGACTGTATTAAATGCCATTGAACTGTACACTTAAAAATAATTAAAATGGTAAAATGTTACATATCTATTTTTACATACATAAATTTACAAGTATTTTTTAAAAGTTATAGCCTTTCAGCAGAGAAAAGTTGTAGGCCTATGCAGGGTTTCTGAACAGCGGCAGTATTGCCATTTGGGGCCTGTGATTTCTTTGTGGTACAGGGCTGTCCTGTGCATTGTAGGATGTTTAGCAGCATCCCTGGCCTTGACTTAATGCCACCAGCACCTCCCCAGTCATGACAGTCAAAAGTATCTCCAGAAATTGCCAAATATCTTGTAAGGGAGGAAGCCACAATCCCCCCTAGTTAGAGAACCACTGGTTCTAACTAACTTTGCTAATGGACTGTTGTTTAAACCTCTGCTCTGTCACTCAGCTCAGCACATCATTGTCTCCCACTGACAAGGATATTTTATTGGTTTAACAATATGCCACATGGATAGATATTTTTCAAATAAAGTGACCTTTAAATCTAGCTTCTCCCCACTCTGCCCACAATAGAATGACACACAGTTCTGGAGAAGTCATTTGAACAGGAAGCTTCTTTCTCTACGTCTAGACTGAGCTCATCTACCATTTGTCTTGCCTGGAATTGTGGTGTAATCTAATAAAACACATTTGACAATGGTTTAACAAAATTATTTAATAAAATTTATAAAAATGAGTATTTAAGAATAATTTTTTTCAGTTTGAATTGTTTTTCTTTTCCATCCCCAAAGAAAATACAAAATTATCAGCACCCGCACACATATACACTCAAAACTATAGTGACAGTCTCTAAATAGAATATTAGGTATACTTTAAATTGCTGAAAAATCAAGACAATTCCAAGAAGTGATTGCAGGGATGATTATTTTCCTCAAAAAACAGTTGACAGACAGTAAAGCAATTTAGATAAACTTCTTTTGGGTGCCAAAAGGTTCTTGATAGTTGCATTTCAACTAAAAGAAGATCCAAATTGAGGTTCTTCTTACCCCCACCCTCCCCTGCTCCTAAGACAAAGTTTGGATTTTCTAATAGTCTGTCTTCTATGATACTTGGAATGTGGGGTAAATGTGTCCAGATCAGCCAGTATTTTCTGTAGCCATCAACAAAAGCAGGCAGTTCACGATTCTGGGCTTTAGGTACAAACCATGATATAAAGATCCTGGTAGAAAACACATGTTGAGATTCTTCCATTCTTCCAGAATCGTCAGGGCTAGAGGTAGAGCCGTCTCAACCATTCTCAGCCTCAGTTTGTTAAATTGCCAGGCTCAGTGACAATTTCTCCTGCCATCTCCAAGCCCACTTTTCATATTCCCCCTCTGTGATATGCAATCTTCTCTTTGGCTGCAACACTTTAGGCACTATTTTGAGTCTTGAAATATATCACTCTTTCTCTTGTTTTAGTAATAAACATTAAAACTAAAGTGGTGCCTGAAAACTCACCACCTTTTCTGGTTAAGGCTCCTATTTAGAACCAAAGTACCCCACAATGACATTCACATAACAAACATTCTTACTCAGAACAAGTAAATGGATAGATGCCCATTTCAAGTTACATACTGGGGAGATGAAAAAAGAAAACCATTAAAGGTCTTAAGAGTACACAATATCTAGTCAAGATATGGCCAGACTAAGATGCTAAAAGGGCCCAATAATTTCTGAATCAGAGAACTCTTGTCTGGAGCAGTGTAAATTCAGAAGGAGCAAGAGTGGACATTGGAACACAGGACACCAGTGTAGTCAAAGGATTCATAGGATAAAAAAAGCACACGAATTAAAAATAAATTTTATATACATATACAAAACAACAGGGCAGTTGACCTCTCCTCTTTCTGTTAAAAATGAAACAAAGCCCTTAAGAAAATCTGCAAGTTGCAAGTTCTGAGGCTGAAGCTACTCTTTTGAAATATAATTTGGAGGTCTTTCGGACATCATCACATGTTGAGTTATGTAAGAAGGATTCAGGGAATAAGTCAAAATCTTTCTAACACATGCAGATTAGATCTATAAAGTGAAAAATTATAACTATCTTAACTACATCACCGATCACAGTCTCTCTTCTCCAGAGATTCATCTCAGATGAAGGGAGCTGCAAAACCACCAGAAAAATTCCTACATTTCCCATCATGTGAGTATAGGGGACCCATCTTTCTCCCCATCATCTGTCTCGAGTCCCCTAGTCATCCTCGCCACCTCCATACATATCTGCCAACTTCTTGAAGCGATTGCCCCATTCATTCAGGTAGTCGTAGTCCTGGTCTTGGTCTGATTCCGAGGAGTTCAGGGAGCTCAGACTAGCAGCTTCGGAACCACTTCCTTCGTAATCAAACACGAGCAGAGAGTCATACGGGGGAGCAGTGGGGTCACTATCAGCTGCCTTCAAGTTCTAAAGAAGAAGGAAGACGACAGGATTTTTCAATGGAAGGAATCGCACACCAGTCATTTTAGGCAAGATGCCTTCTCTCAGTGCCTCAAGCAAAGTGGGCAGGCCTGACAGTGCAACCATCCTGTAGAACAGCTGGAGCAATGAACACTAACAAGGTAAATTTATGCAAACTGCCAAAGAAGATGGACATGCTCTATTGTTAATTAAAAGAAAGTTATGGGAAAATATGCAGAATTTTTTTCCCATAAACTAAAATGGTAAATTATATGTAGGCAGGGAAGGTATGAGCACCAACCAATCTGGATGGACAGAGGCTAAAAACAATGAGGACAGCCATACCAGTCCATACAGGTATGCATTTCAGCCCTGAAAGGTCTGGAAGGATGAATGTCAAACAGTTAACAGTTAACTCTGGTGAGCAGAGTCAGGGGAACTGAGAAAGAACTTGCATTTTTTTCTTTATATACATTTTCATAATTTATATTTTTAATACAGTAAACCTATTATTTTCATAATTTAAAAAAGCTATAATCAAATGTGATAACATGTAAATGAATGTGAATGGAGGAAAGAAACTGAATCTAGATGTATCTAAAAGGGATGGTTAAAACTAGCCCTTCCTGTTCTTGGTTTTCTCTAAGATCCAGTGACTAGAATGGATGTGGCTTGGTCACTTCTAACACTGCTGTGCTTTGTGTAGTCCTGTTGACGACTCCCCTGGGAAGCTAAAGCAAAGCTAGACCCTACCAGTAAGACTTGCCATGGGCCATTGGACTATCAGATAAGCAAGCCCTGAAAATCATTCTAGTAAGTGATCAAGCAGCATAGTTTAAGGAAATAGATCCTACTGGACTGTTATCTTACTTGGTTCTTTGCTCATCGCCATGCCTACTTGTTCATCTACCCTAAAGTAACTCATTTAACACTTTATTTCTCATCCTCCCTTACAGATGTGGATAACCTTGTGACAGTTCTGGCTATTATCATATAGAATGAACTTCCTTGTTCCATAACAACTTGCTAAAAGAAAGATTTTTGCCCTCTGCTCTGCCCTTCCTATTACTTTCTAACTGGAATACAGACCCCAAACCTGAAAAAGTGGCAGCCGGCTAGTGATCATGAGACAACAGGCATGAGAACAAGGACCTACATGCTTGAGTCATGTAGCAGGAAGATAAAAAAGGCCAATGGTCCAGCCTCGACTGCTTACCCCAGCCTTCTATTTGCAAGAAGTAAATTTATTTCTATCTGTTTAAGATTCTGGTATTTATGGCTGATTGCATTCCTGACACATACAATATGGATGCTATTTTTCTGGCCCTCAGGTAGATTTGTGATATGCATTTAACATTACATCCTAACCAGCAGTGGGATGCAGGGGAAAAGAGACCCATTAGTGAAACCAAACTGGGTCCACTCTTTAGTTTCATTTCTAGTTCTATTAAATCTTTTTGATCAATTCTTGGTTTTACCAAATGGACTTTGTAAATAAGGCCAATTTAAAACGCTATTAGTTCTGAAATTCAAATGAGACACAAATAAAAAAAGAAAATAGGGCTCAGGGATCACATAAGATGAAAATGTGCTAAAGGAAAGAATCTAGACACTTTTTCTCACTGTTGACACAACTGCTCCTTTGTTAAGTTTAGAGATGAGTTGCACCTTTGCTTTGGACTTTGCTTACTTACTTCATCAATAAAGTTTCCAATTTCATCAGGATTGGCAGGGCGGGGCCGATACTGGGGCACACTCAGGAGGGTCGGTGCCACATCATTGCGAGTCACTTCGGGCCGAGCATCCAGACCTCTGTGCAACTGGCTCAAGTCAAAGTCCTTTGGAGAAAAAGGTAAAAGTATAGCAAAGAGTAAAACACAAAGTCATAAACATAGAGTTCTAGGTGGTTTATAGATTATGGTATTAGGTAATGCCTTAACTGCCAACACAAGCATATATATGCCAGTGTAATCTGAAATGATAGCTTCCAACCTAAGAGTCTCCAAAACAGCATTGGAAGAAAATATAGCATAAAAGGACTGTGAGGAACACTTATGGGTATGGATGGAGACTGTTGTACCTTATTAACTTTTCACAGGGTATGATTATTAGATTTTCATTCAGCAAATATTCACTCCCTTCTCACCCTATCGGGACTCTGTGATGGGTCCTATGCTTCCCTTTCTAAATACAGTAGACTTTCAAAACTTTTCTGGAAAACTCCGGGGTAAGGCAAGTTAAGACCATCTCCAAATCAAGAAAAATAAAGAAGGCCTAAAGATTTAATATATACAAAAGAAAAAAAAAAAACAGTTCAGCATAGCTAAAATAACTCAAGAGAAACAAAGTATTAAAATAGATCTGTTGTTCTATGTCAAAGATAATCTGAATGAAGTTCGTGTCCAGAGACTAGTGATGAGGAGAGCAAGCTCTGGAGTCAGACCACCTGGTTCTTTTGCTTCCGAGCTGTGTGACTTTGGGCAAGTTGCTTAACTGCACTGTGCCTCTATTCAGTCATCTGAGTGAAGAGCAATAAGCAATCAATATATGTTAGCAATGTTGTATATTGAGGATGATGGCCAGTGACAATGTCTATGTTATTGTGTAAGGCTTTAAAAAACAATACATGAAGTGATACAGAGCTATTTCAGATGTCTGCCTTCTAATCACTGCTTCTTCCAATTAAAGAGATTGCCATTAAGCATTTTATTACAGTTTTTAAAACCCACCTGGTCCTCTTCTCCACCTCCTTCTTCATCGTAGTAATAAACATTGTCCCGAGTGTCGTCTTCTGGGGGCAGTAAGGGCTCTTTGACCACCCGTCTCCTCCGAACAAACAGCAGAAGCAGCAGAATCAAGACTGGAGAGGAGAAGAGACAGCGATGAGAGCCACAGGTCAAGAGCATCGTAAGCAGCCATTAGAGAGCCCTACTGCCTTGCATAGCAGACAGATGGCTGTCAACGCACGTGGTGATGCTTATGTCCCTGAAGTGAACACATGTGGCATAACATAGCGGACAATTCTATGTAAATTCCAATGTGATCTTGAATTCACGTATAATTCAGAACCAGGTCTTAAACCAATCAGTCATTTCCCAAAATCTGGGGGAAAATGTTCCCAGCAGTGGAAATGGTACGGGCAAAGGCAATGAGGCAGGCGCATGCTTGGTGTGATTAAGGGAGGACAAGGTCGGCATGGTGATAGCCGGGTGAGTGAGTGGGAAGGAAGAGGAGAGGAGGTCGGAGGAATAGCGGGGACTTGTGGTTTTGATTCTGAGTGGGTTGGAGCCACTGAAGGTTTGTAAGCAGGACTAGGTCAGCCTGAGTGTGATTGATAAATGCACATTATTGTTAATCAGTTATATTGAGTGGAACACACACTATAAAATCACCCGGTATATTTCTTATCTTCTCTCAAGATAAAATCATGTAAGCAAACTTTAAAAGCTGTTTCATTTCCAAAGTCTTCATCTGATCTTGGGATAGAGTTCTAGATATGTACAATTAATATTTAATTTTTTAAGAACATTAAACTATTTATTGTAAATAAACATATAATTCACGGTGTATTCTTTATAGATGTTTGTGCCCAAATACACTTTAGTGAAGCATTCTTGCAACGAAACAGGATGTTACACAAACCCGGGGGAAAGATTTCTTAGACATAACGAACCTACATATTGTTTCTGAAATCAGGAAGATTCCAAGACCTTATCCAGATAAGCAACACAACTCCCTTGACCATAATTCATAAACAGGAGGAACACTGAGCACTTGCTACGTGGTCTAAGACCCTTCTTGGCACTGAGGATGCAGCGCTGAAGACAATGCAGGTTGCAAACTTCTCCATCTGAGCAGAGCTTAGAGCAAAGGAGTGCCAGAGGCAGGTTTCCAAAAGGATGCTTCTTATGAAACATTACTTAAATGTTACTTAAAGGAAAGTAACCAAAATATAGTGTATTATTATCACTTCAGGAAGCACCACTTCTCCCCACCTGCATGGAAACCTGTGTCTGACACAAAGCCTGGTAAGCAATCAAATATTGATAGACTACATGAGAACCTTCATGTCCTAGTGCCTCTCTAGAATAGTCTTTAGAAGTGTAAGTTCTACGTTTGCCCATAAGGAATAAAAATCTGGAAATCTTAATCCTGGCATTGCTTCTGTTTTAAATGTTGTTCCACCTTTGAACATTCCAATTGTTGTTCTCTGCCCCTGTGTCTAATGAAATATACCTACAGCAAATTTAGGTAATGCTGTTTTAAAAAGCCACTATTTTAAGCGGAACTACAATCTTTAATATTTTCCTCAGAATGAAAGCACAAGTCAGTAATCCCTGTCCCCACAGCTGACTGGCCAATTCAAATATGATTTGACCAGGAAGTAAGTGGGCACGTAGGGCTTGAGTGATCATGCCCAGGACCATGACAGAGGAAGGTGAATTAACCTAACTCCATCACGGCATGTTAGCCATGTAACTCCTAGAGGAACATGTCAAAAAAGCACACTGAACTCTAAACAACACTGTCTTCCTTCTCAATTTTAAGAGGATACAAACAGCAGAGGGCAACAGCAATCAGGATGTACTGCAGACATTTCCTAAGGTCAAAAGATAACCCCTTCTCGAATTTGCTGAAGCAGCAGCAGCAGGATCAGTGTCAAATTTAAGTTGAAAACCCCAGAGTTGGTCCTGCTGCTCCAAGAACTTTCTTTGACTCCAGCCAGGTTGGCCTCTTCTCTGTCTTAGACAGTGCAATTACGCCTTCCTCTCTCTAGTGCAGGAACCCTCACAAATGCCACTCGGCCTACCTGGATTCCACCAGCCTCTGTAGCCCAACCATCAACCACCGAACCTTTCTAGAGACTCAATTAACAGCCCTCTCTTCTAACTACAAAGGCGCTCATGACCTAGACCATGTTTCCAGCTCCTAATTACACACTATTTGTGAAGGTTTTCTCATTGACTCACCATCACTAGCTTTTAGAAGCCATAACAGTATCTGTGTCAACCCTTGGTGGGCTCAGGTAATACCAGTTTTAAGGACTACAGCAGAAATTGCCAAAATTTCCCCAGTATCCTTTTCTCCTTCATCCTTTCAGTCATCAATACTCAGTATTTGCCCCACACTCCACCACCATCCTCTGCCAGGATTTAATCGGGCACATGGTCACCCAGTTAGAGTGTGAACTTCCAGGTGTGGCTGTGTTTGGGCCAATGGGTTATGAATGAGATGATATGTACAATTTCCAGATGTGTGCCTACCACTTCCTCTGTCATTCGTTCTCCAGGATGGAGTATCAGCATCCCAAGGCTTTGCTACTCCAAGCTGATCCAAGGACCTGCAACATCCAGCATCACCTGGGAGCTGATTAGAAATTCAAAATATGATGCTGCACCCCAGACCTACTGGATCAAAATTCTCATACTACAAAGAGGCACAGGTGATCTATATGCACTCGAGCTTTGAGAAGCACTGCCCTGATTGGATTGAAAGAACAGTAAGATAGAAGAAATCAACCTGGTCCCCTGTTGATTTAGATAGAAGATAGAAGAAATCAACCTATCCCTGTTGGAATAGGTTGCCTTTCACTCTTGGACCACTAATCTCTGAAATGCTCAGCAAGAGTAAAACCTTCTCCAATTTAGAAGTTAAAAGCTGAAACACTTGAGAGCTGTACTTACTTAGCAAAGCAAGGATGCCTCCAAGAATCCCCAGAATGGCAGGAACCTGCAATCCTGCGGTGGCATAAGCTATGTCCTTCTTACAGCCGTTGGTGGCCCCTTCACAGTCACACACGTACACATCTAAGGTGGTCACCTGGTCTTTGTTCTGGTTATCTGCGAGCTTGAGATTTATTTTGTAGGGACCCAAATCTAAGGTTTTCTTTGGTTTCAAAATGATAGATTCATGTTCTAGAGGAAGCAACAAAAATAAACGATGGGACCAGAGGAGAAAAAAATTACTGTAGAATAAGAATATTAAGGCACTAAAGACATTCCAAAGTTGAGTAAGGAAAACAGAGCTGTTTGGGTTACAGATTACTAGGCGGTATGTTTACAGAGTCAGATAAAGAAAAGGGACCTCTGGTGGAATGCCTCAAATATAGAGGGGGCAAAGAAACAAGCATCGAACTAAAGGGGTGACATCTGGAAGTTGAGAAGGAAATTTCAGAACGGGGGTGGAGGTGGGGGCAGGGGAAGCATGAGGATCAGAGCAAAGTTTTGGAAATAAGACTCAAGTTCCCACCTGGGTCATTATACTCAATGGTCCAGTTGACACTTGCCCCATGTGTTAGTTCTGCAACGAAGGGAGATGTGTTGGGGGGAAGATCTGGATCAGTGATGTTGATGATATGAGGCTGTGGATTCTTCTGGCAGAAGTCCATTACTCGAGGATTTGGTATAGGGGCATTGTCGTTCACATCAGAGAGGATCAGGAGAAGGGTTCCCGTTCCAGTCGCAACTGGAGAACCTAAGGGAAAATACATAGGAAATATCACAGCTCAGGAACATTGAGGAATCCCTCCTGCCTCCCATCAGACTGAACCCACAGCTTGTCCTGGCTCTCCAGGGATCCATCGCCTGCCTGCAGAGCCTCCTGTCCTGCCAGTCCCAGACCATCTTCACCCCTGACAGGGCAGGTCTCTGACATACTTCTTCTCCTTTTGATAACAATTATTCAGGTTATATCCCTCTTTCCTCTTCTTCACATATCTTTACTCATCCACTATATTTTCACCATTCCACAAAGTCCTCATTGCCCCACCAGTTCTTTTTCTGAACTTCTATGGCTTTAAGGTCATTATCTAAGGGTTGAGCCTTTTTAAATTGCTGCAAGTTGCTTTTCAAAATAGATTTGGAAGTTCATATGCACTTCTATTTGCATTTCTTTTACATCCTGATGTAGCACCTGGCATATGTTAGTAGAAAAAATACTCTACAGGAAAAAACAAAAAAACAAGAGGACTGTATGTCAAAACTGTAAGTAGTTATACCTGCGTGGCAAGCCTGTAGTGATTATTTTTTCTTATTACTTTTTTGTGTGTGTGGTTAAAAAAAATAGCATAAAATTTACCATCTTTTGAAGTGTATAGTTTAATAGTGTTAGTCCATTTACATTATTGTGAAACAGCTCTCCAGAATTTTTTCAAAACTGAAACTCTTTATCCATTCAACAATTCCCCATTTCCCCCTCTGGTTCCTGGTAACCACCATCTACTTTCTGTTTCTATGAATTTGACTACTTTGACACCTCATGTTAGTGAAATCATACAGTATTTGTCTTTTTGTGGCTGGTTTATTCCAATTAGCATAACGTCCTCACCATGAATCTACGTTGTAATGTGACAGGATTTCCTTCCCGTTTAAGGCTGAATGAGATGCCATTGTGTGTACATACCACGTTTTGTTTATCCATTCATCCATGGATGGATTTTTCACTTTATCATGGGAATTTTCTTGGTTTAATAATGAGCAGGAGTCATTTAACTTTTTTTAATTACAAAAATTTTTTTTTAATGAGCTAGTAGATTTTCTGATGAAACTTTTTTCTCCTCTTAGACCTACATGGAGAAGTATTAAGTCATGCACGAAGTAACACCTGAAGGACTCATTCAGAACAACCACATCTTAACTATTATGAGGTCAGGGGTCAGCAAACTAAGGTCTTCTGGACAAATCAAGAACACAGCCTCACTCATTCCTTCACAGATAGTCTATGGCTGCTTCTAGACTACAATGGCAACAGAGGCTGTATGGCCCACAGAGGCTAATATACTTACTCCCTGGCCTTTACAGAAAGTTTGTCAGTGCTTAGTTTAGGTATCACTTCCTTAACTTATCTTGGGCCAGACCAGGGACTACCCAGGCTGCTGGAAAGAGCTGGCTAATGAGGAAATGCAGCTGAAGCAACGGAGTAGCTTTCCCTTTATGCAAAGGCATTTTGCAAACAGAGCCCCATCACGGCCTCACTTGCCTTGCCCTCAGCTTTCCAGATTGTCAAGTCTGGAATGACTACCTTGGGAGGTTGAAGAATGAGGAAGGGGAAGAGAATTTAATCACAGGAAGTTATTAGGTCTCTAACAGTAATTCTGCTTCTGAATATTTATCCAAGGGAAATAGCTGGACTTAGAGGCATGTCCTAGGATGTTTACTTATCACTCAAATAAATAATGAAGAATTGGAAACAAACCCAATGGTCTTTTAATCTATGAGTGATTAAATTATGCTATATCCAGGTGCAGGTGACATCATTTTATTGACAAGAAGTACAGGCATACCTTTTTTATCACGCTTCACTTTATTGAGGTTTCACGGATGTTGCATTTTTTACAAATTGAAGGCAAGGGCTTTCACCAGCAGAGAGATTATGAGACACTTTATTACTGTGGTCTAGAACTGAACCCATAATATCTCTGAGGTATGCCTGTACATTTATTATGTGCCATGGTAGATCTCTGTGTCTTAAAGACATATAATCAAGTAAAAAAATAATAATTAAAAAAAATTTTAAACAACATGTATAAGATATTGGTTTTTATAATGAAAACAAAAATAGGCTGTAATCCAGATAGTGGTTTTATAATAAACTATATTTCTACATGTATATAAATGTATCAAATACACAGAAATAGTCTGAAAGGAGTCACACTTCACTAATAATGAGGATGATGATAATAATAAAAATAACAGTCCTTATAGAGCAGGTCTTATGAATCAGGCTCTTTTCTAGGTATTTTTTACATAAATTAAGTCATTTAATTCTGATGGGTGTTATCATTTTGTTAGATAAAGGAATTGAGGACCATAAAAATTAGGTAATAAGTCCAAGGTCACATAGGTATTAAGCTTTAGAATCTAAATCCAGGCAGCCTGGCTCCTATCGGGAATGAGTGAATATGGTTCAGGTATAGAGAGGGAGTGGCGAAACGAAACTTCTGCTTGACCTGAATTATTTGCATTTTTGACGATGAGAATGCTTTTGTTTAAGAATAAAAGAAAAAGAGAGGGGGGAAAAAAGTAAAATGTTTAAAGAAATAAATAAAATGTTTTTTTTTAAGGTTTTAATTTTAAAAATTCATTATAAAAAAAAAAAAGAATAAAAAAAGCAAAAGAACGAACTCATGCCTCCAAAAGAAGGATAGAGGGCAAGGACGTGAGCTAGGTGAGGTAGCAAAGGCCAGACAGGAAGGGCGTCCTTACCATTGTCAGTGGCTATGATGAGGGCCGTGTACGTGCTGTTCTTCACATGGTTGACGTCCTCTCTGTCCATCTCAGCCCGAGTGGAAATGGCGCCAGTGTCTGGATTAACCTCCAGCCAGTTTGCAGTGTCCCTCCAAATCCGATACCTGAAAAGGCAAAAGCACTGGCTTAGAATGAAAACAGCAAACAGCATGTAACTGACAAAGCCTAAAGTTTTTCTTCATTGACAATAGTTCCAACTTCTCTATATTTCCAATTTCTCTATTTAAAAAAAATTATACCTATATAAAAGTTGCCAGAAAAGTATGATCATCCATGCACCCTTCACCCAGATTCGCCCATTGCTAATATTGTGGTAGATACAGAAGTTGACACACATATACATAATGTCTTGTTTTGCTGAACCTTTTGAGAATAAGTTGCCGACAGATGTCATGTTCCTTTATTCATAAATACTTGAACGTGTTATCTCCAAAGAACAAAGGCATTCTCTTATGTAACCACAATTTGATTTTCAATTTCAAGAAATATAACATGGCTATAATACTATTATTAGACATATGGTACATATTCAAATTTTTGATTTTCCCCAAACCATCCTTCATAGCATCCTTGCTCCCATTCAGTAACCAGTCCAGGATCATGCATAGCACTCAGCTATCATGTTTCTTTAATGTCCATTAATTTGGAACCATTCCTTAGTCTTTATTTTCTTTCTTGACACTGACATTTTTGAAACATGCAGGCCAGCTGTTTTTTAGAAAGCCCCTCAGTTTGAGTTTGTCTGGTTATTCCCTCATAATTAGATTCGGTTCTGCATTTGGGGGCAGGGAGAGGAAAAGAACACTACACAGGTGCTGTTGTGTCCTTCTTGATGTGTCTTATTAGGAGGCATATGACATCTGTTTGTTCTTTTACTGATGTTCACTTTGATCACTTGGATGAAGGAGAGGCTACCAGACTTCCTTGTAATAAAAGTACTTTTACCCCTTTTGCGATTAATCTGTAATCTAAAGGGAGATATTTGACAATATCCTGTTCACCAACTAAATTTCATCCAATAGATTTAGCATCTGTGGATAATTCTTGCCTGAATAACAAATACTGTGACCCTTATGTATTTTTAAAGGCAGAGTCTTTCAGAACAGGTCCCCAAAGGGTACGGAGGTTCTTAAATGGTGGTGCCATGCAAAATCTGTGCCAGGAGCATTTAGAGATGTGGGTTGACTTGGAGGTGGGTTGCACTAGTACCTTATTAGGAGTACCAGAAACAGTCCATCAGAGGAAACAAAGGCATGAAAAAGAGATATACTGCCCAGTTATCCACTGGGGTCCTGGAAAGCCTCAAAAAGGAAAGCAAAGAAATAGGAGATAAGGTCCTTGGATACCTGTGGGCTCTTCCTCACTTCCTTAGAAGTGCAAAGCAACTGACTACGTACAGTAGTCTTTATCCATGGGTATAGGCCCCTACACACACTATTAAGACCTGGTCTCTGAATCTGCCCAAAGAGGCTTGGAACTATTTCGCTACTGCAAGCTAAAATGTCAACACAGCCTGGAAATTATACAATCCCAAGCTTTATCACAGAACAAAACCCTACAATATTGACTTTGGTTCTTCACTATCTTTTTAAACTTGGATTTAAAATGCATCTCATCAGCCTTTATATTTTGGAACACCTAGAAGAATCCTTGGATTACAAGCTGTACATTGACGACATGTCCAAAATTAGAGTGAGTATGTATGTATGTATGTATGTATGTATGTATGTATGTATGTATTTATTTATTTATTTTTAGGTGAGGCAACCCTTGGTTGACCTCACAGATTGCAAGGACCTTATCAGCTTACAATCCCTTATTTTTTTATTTTTTACACCTACAGCACCTGGTCTTCCTAGGTGGTCTCCCATCCAAGTACTAACCAGGCCCGACCCTGCTTAGCTTCCAAGATCAGTCGGGATCGGGCTTGTTTAGTGTGGCATAGCCATAGACTAAAATTACAGTGTTTTAAAGTAAATCTCAAACATCATAAGATTTCTCCTGTAAACACTTATCTTTCATAGGTAAGTTTTTTTTTAAAGATAATCACAATACCACTAACACATCTACATAAATAATAATTAATGTCACCTAATGCCAAGTCTATGTTTAAATTTCTCTAATTTCCGCATGGGTGTCTTTTATAGTTGGACTGTTGAATCTGTATTCAAGCATAGTCTACACGTTACAATTGGTTGATGTGTCTCTTAATACTCTTTAGTCTATAGCAGTCACCCCCACCCTTTTGCCATTTATTTGTTGAAGGAACTCTGTCATTTGTCATTTAGTTCCCACATTCTGTATTTGGCTGACTGCTTCTTCATGGCATTTAACTTGTTTCTTCATTCCTTGCATTCTTCAAAATCAAATCCTAAGATTTGATTAGATTCTGTTTCAACTTTTTTCTCCAAAAAATATTTCTTTAGTGATGCTGTGCACATGCTGTTGAATCCCATCAAGTCAAGTTGTTCTCGCTTTTTAGTAAATGTTAAAATTAATCAGAAGGTTTGGATGTTATCAGCCTGGTTCCTCCACTTTAAAATTTCCCATTGTCTTTGACCTAAAGCTATCGGCCACTAAGATCACTGCCTAGACCCTCTGCACAGCAAGCTCATTCTGTACAGTAAATGTGCATGGTATAAAGGTATTTATGAGTCCTTTCACTCTGGATAGAATTAGTGCTTTCCAGAATAACCTCAGAAGTTGAAGTCATACTTCAAATCTTTTTGTTTAAGTTTCATAAGTCACAGGCACTGAAGCTAAAACACAAACACCCCCCAAACAAGAACACACTCAATTATTAGGCATGACTCTACTCTGGATTTACTTAACATTTTTTTTATAAATAGTTCAGAGCATTCTGACAGATTCCTCTAAAGCAGATATTAACAAGTAGGAATCTATGTCTCAGAGAAGAGGAATAGGGCACATTGGCCAAGGCCTCTATTATCCCTGGAAATCACACTATAACTAACAAGACACACATGTCATATTTGGGTTGGTGCTCTAATAGTTTTTCCTAGTCCAACCTAGCTCTCAAAAGATTAAGAATATTCTTTATCATACATGGTCGGGGGGGTGGTGCCATTGGCTTATGTCTGTTTTCAACATTTGTGGCTGTGATTTACATTATAGAGGTGCCTTCAAGTCTAAAGAGAAGAAACAGTAAGCTACTTATAAATACCATGTATGTAAACTAAAACCACATTCTTATTACACTGCATGAACTCAAAAAGAGGAAGCACAATAAACCTAGAATGGCTATGAAAGGAATGAAAAAGGTATGGGGAATGGGATTAAAGAAGAATTTTTTTTAAAAACCAATTAAGAGAAGGGTCTTGCACAATGATGAGAAAATGCTATAAACTAAATATTTTATTCACACATCCAGTTGCTTCAAGTCAGCCGAAAAATCCACTTACGTTATCTTCTGTTCCATAAATGTGTCCGGCTCCTGGGCAGTGTAAGATGTGATTTCCATTCCCACTGGAAAGTCTTCGGGCACCTCCACTCTCTTTTGGGGAGGCATGAAGATGGGGGCTTCGTTCACGTCCAGCACATCCACTGTGATGGTGGCTGTGGAGGTGGACAGAGTGACCTCAAAGGGGGCCACGTTCTTCACTGCCACGTAGAGAATGTACTGCTGCTTGGCCTCAAAATCCAAGCCCTAAAGAGCAGAAAAAAATAAATTTGAAAAATTTTATGTTAGTAGGAAAAAAAATTACATTCTTAACAATTCTTTTAGTTAGCAATATACTAGTAGTTGTCAAATCTGGCTACATTAGGGTTGAGAACCCCAGGAGAAGACATGAAATCTCAAACAGCAAACCTCAGTTAACAAACACTAGCACATTAAGTCAAGATCAGTAAGAGTGCTCATGTCCTGTGTGACATGCTATCCACATGATGGCGTAGAGACAGAGATCCCACTGGGCCACCTCTCTAACCCAGGGAGTTTAGTGGAGTCCAGAGTCAGCCAACAAGCAGCTGGGCCACTTCCTAGTTGCGTGACTTGGGCAACTTGACCTCTGGGTCTATTTCTACACCTAAGTAAGTAGGACAAGGAACTACCCCACAGAGGTGCTGGAAGGAATAGACTGGGAACTTTTATGAAGGCCTTTATGTATAGTAGAAACTCCGATTACTGGCTTCTTTCTTCTGTCGACAGAATGTTAACAGAAAATGCTGACATCACATGTTCAGTGGGAGATAAGTTTTCGTACTAAGTAATTCAGAAATGAAGGGTCTGCTCACTTGCTCAAGAGGAAATCAAAGTTCTGGGTTAATCCAGGTATCTGTTAACTCTGACTAACTTTAATAAGAATCACTTGACTTCTTAGTTTTCAAGCCTCCAAGACATCTTTCAAAAACAGTCATATTTGTCCCACTTCTAAAACAATCTAGCAAAAGCAGAGACCAGTTAACCATTTTCTCTCTCATTTGCAAAACAGATATGGAGGGTAGGCAAATGTTTCAGGGGAATGAGCCTATTAAAACAGATGGTACTTCCTCTTCAATTTTAGGATGATGGGTAGGAGCTTCCTGACTTCTCACAGGAAACTGAAGAGTCACTGCAAACCCCAAATGGTCCACCAGAGCCTGGGAAAGTCAGATCCTCATCTACTTCTGAGAAGACACCAGGGGACAAGAGAGTGTGCAGCCAACAGGGCTATCAGTTTCTGCATCTTGCCACACAAACCTTAGCCGTTTTCAAAATGCCATCGTTGGTTACTGGGTCTGTGGTGACAACAAATTGCTCCTCATTGTCATTTAATATGGTGTACACGGCCTCCCACGCTGGGGTATTGGGGACATCGGCATCAGTCACTTTGAGCGTAGTGATTGCAACATTAGCTTCATTCTCAGGAACTTCACCATGGTACTGCAGAGCAAAGGAGGAGATGAGTCGCTTAAGACATCTTGAGACACAGTAGAGGACCCAGGTCTAAGGGAATCCTTTCTGAGACCAAGCTTTGAGGAGAAGAGTCTCAAAGGAAGTGGCCACTCAAGCAGCAGAGCCCTTATTTCCTGTCAACAGATCAGCTAACACTCAGGAGCATCCTCCTTCATGAGTACCTGAAGTAGCTTTGCAAGGCCCTGCCTAACCAAGCCCCTCAGCACACTTTGGCCCAGTTGCTGACAGTGATCTTAGTCGCTAAGGGCAAGGCATCGTGGTTTATCCACTACTTCCCTCTTCCCCATCATTCTCAGTGCTACCGGTAATTTTCATAAAGCAAAGGCCAGGTCATTACAGTCTCCTGCTTAGAACACTTTGTTGATATCCCCTTGCGCTCAAGATAAATTCTAAAATTCTTAACTCAGTCTACAAGACCCTGCAGGACTCGACCTCTTTTGGTTCACTACACTGTTTTTCAGTTTTTGCTATGTATCAAGCTTCCTCTTGATTCAGAGTATTTTGCATATGCTGATCCCTCTGCCTAGAATACTCTTCCACTGTCTCCTGTCTCACATTTGCCAACCTCCTTTAAAGTCTCACCATAAGTGTCACTCACTGCCATGATGCCTAGGTTAGGTGGCAGACACTGCTAATTGCCTGCTAATTATCCATTCTCCCCTTCTTCACTAATAGTACTGTTGGT